AGGTTTGAGGCCAGTTTGATCAACACATTCAGAGCATGTCTAAATAAAATTAATCAAACCTGGGATGGGAATGTAGCTCAGTGGTTAAGTACTTGCCTACCACATATAAAGTCCTGGACTTGATCCCCAGCCTAAGTACATATAACCCATACTCAATGAGATACCATTTTATAGCCACTAGGTTAGCTACAGTTTAGAAAGATGGTAACATACAGAGAAAAGGTAAAACCCACACACTGCTAGGGTGCATGCCCTACAGGCCACACAGCCCTGTTGCTACTCTGTCTCCTTCACATCCACACTAGTCTTGTCATCTTTCAGAACTACAGCAGAAATAGGGGTTGGGAAAGATTCCTCATATGAAAGAAAAAGATATCTGGAAAACTGACTGCTTTCCAGTATAAAACCAATGTAAGCCAAGCATGGTGGTACATGCCTATAATCCCAACAAGACCAACCTTAGCTACAAAGTGAGCTCCAGGCCAGTCTGAACTGCATAGCAAGACCCTGTCTCAAAAAGATAAAAAAAAAAAAAAAACAACACCCAAAACATCCCAATGTATAAACCAGCTGTGTAAAAGATGAGCAAGAATTCAACCCCAACCTGGTCTACATGATGACTGCAAGCCCAGTGTGGACTTTACAGTGAGATCATGTATCAAACAAAACATGAAGTGTTAGGTGTCTTGAAGAATTTCCTGAGTAGCTGGTGGCTCATACCTGTAATTCCAATACTCAGGAGGCTGAGACAGAAAGATCATTGTGAGTCTGAGGCCAGCCTGGACTACAAAGGGTTAGGGTTAGGGTTTTAAGTTCAAGATCAGCCTGAACTACATAGCAAGACCTGTCTTTAAAAAAAAAAAAAAAAGTCAGCCTTAAGTTCCTGTTTACCCATTTTCTGGCTAGCACTATGGATGCCAGGAGTGCCACACTCAGCCCTCACTATAGCAGTATGCCCATTGATGAGCTTAGAGAGGTGGTTCCTACTGTAGAAACTACTAGTCCTTGGAAGAACAGGTACTTTCCAGAAGCTTAGGTATGGGCAGGAATTGAACAGTATCCAAAAATATGCAGGGTACAGGTTCCATCCTGGAGCACAAATCCTGTAGATTAAACTGACAAAAGAGGTCCGGCCAAATAGCTCAGCAGATTAAAGTACCTGCAAGCAGACGCAGGGGCCAGGGATCAATCCCCAGTCCTGCTGTGCTGGCCCTGCCCCTGGGGCATGCTGAGGGCAATTGAGACTGGGCGTGGTGGTGTGCATCTGTAATCCTAGCTCTTGGGAAGCTGTAAACAGGTAGATCACTATGAGTCTGATCTAGTAGTAAGACCCTGAACACCCTGTAGATCCTTCCCTAAAATACAAAAAACAAAACAAAACCCTGACAAAGGAGCTGTGTTGCCTCAATAACATATTCAGGTGGAGGCCAGGTAATTTTTTTAATCTTTTATTTATTTAGTATAGGGTCTTGCTACACAGTTCAGACTCGTAGTGACCCTCCTGTCTCAGCCTCCCTAGTGCTGGGATTACAGGCATGTGCCACCATGCCTGGTTTGGAGGCCAGGTCCCGAAGGAAGCTTCTGGCCTTTGCCAGAGTAGTGTAGGTTCACCCTACCTTTCCACGGGCTGACCTCACAGGCAGGACACATTCTGTCACCTGGGCGTAGGACCAAGTACTTTTCAGTAAAGCCGCTCATTCTCCAGACTCACGGTACTCACTAATGATATCCAGCAGGTTCTATCCCACAGTAGAAACCTTTACTTTGCACCCCAATGATGGAGTCCAAGGCTTGCTCCTCCTCATTCCTTCACACAACTGTAGCAGTAGTCTCCACTGCTCCTTCACTCAGCCCAGCACACACTAAGCAGGGCATGCCCATCCTTACTGCCACAACTAGGCTCTTGCTTCTCCAGGGAGTGGCCAGCAGGAGGTAGTCCCAGGAGTTACTATAGAAGTGACACTGTTTTTTCTCTTTTTGAGAAAGGGTCTTATTATTTAGTTCAGGCTGGCCTTGGTTGAGCTTACTTCATAGCCCAGGCTGGTTTTGAACTTGCAGTGATCCTTCTGCCTGAGCCTTCTGAGTGCTGGGATTACAGGCATGCACCACCATGCCTGGCTGGAAGTGTTTTTGAAATGCCTATGGTGGGTTTTAGGGTATAATTATGGAGCCACAAAATAAAGCAAAACTACCATACTGCCCCACTCCTCAATCCTAGACCACATAGAATGTGACTCAGCTCTAAGAAAAGAATAGTCTTCTAATGTGGAATTGATGTGAAACTTAATTTGAGACCTCATCTTCCTCTCCCAATGGGAGCAGAAAGGACCAGCCCACATCAGGCCA